CAAAAAAAAAAAAAAAGAAACCCAAAAAACAAAACAATAAAAAACCTCCTAATGTTAGCAGATCACATTTACCAATCAAAGACTTAAGTCCCCTTGAGATCATTTTTACCATAAGAATTTAGTAATTTTAAAAGGTTTGAAACATGTAGGATGGTCAGAGTTTTTAAAAGAGCATATACCAATTAAAATGATGTTTCTGGCTTAATCTGTTGGAATGTGGAATAGGTAGAAGTCTTGAAGTCTTCATAGGCAAGGACTTCCTGAAGCACCCCAATTGCACAAAAATAGTATCAGGAATCAACAGATGGGATCACATCAAATTAAAAATCTTCTGCACATCAGAGGAAACAACCAGAAGAGAGAAGAGACAGCGTACAGAATAGGAAAACTTTTTGCCAGCCATTTCTCAAACAGGAGGTGTTCCTCCCAAGCCCCATATGTTCATGGGGGCGGGGGGCTTTTCTGAGGTGGCTGGATCTAGGCTGTGTAATGTTGTGATCAAGGATGTGAATCTGGGGTTGATTCATGATGCAATGCTAGGATTAAGGGTGTGAATGTCACTTGCCCTAGTGGCAGGTAGGCTGGATAAGAATATAGGGGACAGAAAGAGTTGCTGTTGATGTGTGTTGATACGTTTTATCACTTACTTGCTGCCTTTTGCTTTGTCATGAACTGTTTTTCCTCTGCGATGACCTTCTGTCATGCCACCCTGCCTTGGAGCTAGCTGACTATGAACTGAAACCTTTAAGAACTGTAAGCCAAATAAATTCTTCCTCATTTAACTTTGGGTATTGAGTATTTTGTCTCAGCAACAAGAGAAATGTAACTAAGACAGAAGACTAATACCTAGACTATATAAAGAACTAAAAACAAAAAATCATCCCCCCTTAAAATAAAAGACCCAATTAAAAAATAATGGACAATTGAAATGAATAGATACTTCTCAGAAGAAGTACAAATGGCTGATAAATACATGAAGAAATGTTCAACATCTCTGGCCATTAAAGAAATTCAAATCAAAACCACACTGAGATTCCATCTTATTCCAGAATGAATGACTACATCAAGAAATCAAGTAATAACAAATACTGGTAAGGCTGCAAGAAAAAGGAACCCTTCTTCATTGTTGGTGAGAGTATAAACTGAAACCATCACTATGGAAATCAGTGTGGAGATTCTTCAAAAAGCTAAAACTAAAAATTCCATTCGACTTAGCTATTCCCCCTCTAGGTATCTTCTGAAAATAGTCAAAGACATCATATCAGTGATAGGCAGACTTGTATTATAGCAGCACAATTCATAATTGTTACGTCTTGGAAGCCATCTATATGTCTACCAATAGATGAATGGATGAAGAAAACGTGATATTTATATACAATGCCAGTGCTACCTTACCATAAAGAAGGATAAACTTGAGTCATTTGTAAGAAGATAGATGGACCTTAAATATCACATGGTTTCTCTTATCAAAGAAGCAAAAAATATAAAGAGCAAAATAAAAGATGTTAAGTAGGGAGATAGATCTTTCTCAAATGGGAAAGGGATCAA